CAGTTTCTAATTCTGAAAAAATTCAAAAAAAAAATGGTGAATTTGCAATAAATGGGATGGAATGTTTTCGAGAAGTGCCATTACGGGGACATTCTTTAACCTGATGGAGTGTCGGTGCTCGCGCGGCTATAATGAATCGGCATGCGCCGATAACCTCATTTTCGCGTGAAAAAATTGTCACATCATTGATTGCTTCCGCATGTCGATTCAGATCATCTGCTAACTGCTCCAGACGACTAAGCTATAATCATTTCTGAATTCAGTGACAATGAACTCAGTGGTAAAAAGGCTGAAAAAAGAAACAAGAAGAGCCAAAAAAATGCAATGCGACGAAGGCCAAAGTTACGCGACGCAAAATTCGACCAATGCAGCATCAGAGAAATGTTAAACTGCTAAAAAAATGATAGTTCCTCACCGTAAAATTACCATAATAAGATGGGGGATCAATGAAAGAGAAACGCAATTTCGAGTAATGATAGAGTGGGGGGGAGGGGGTGGGCGGGGAAAGGGGTTCAAACTGAGGATTTTTTTGCAGATTGCTCCCAGTTCATAACACTGGGAATACTTACAGCATATATTTATTAATAGCCTGATTTTTAAAAATGTAGCTAGCAGCTTTTCCGGTTGTGCTGACCGGTGCTGCATCGCGCGTTGGCCAGTCTGCTGGCGATCCCAACGTTAATTTAGCTTCCTGAAGAGGTTATCAGGCCAACGATTTTCCTAGGAGAAAAACGGCAAGGCCCTGGCAAATCTTAAAAAATAACACTTATTCCCAAGCACTGCCACTGCTGGAAACAGCTCGTCGGCTTTTTAATGTTTTAAAAACTGTCGAAATATTTTCACGCTATCCTTTCTTTTTTGTCTGTTATATTTCCTGTACTTTTAGATAAACTTTTGCCCACTTTAAAGTATCATGCCAGTCTCCTAAGCACCTACAACATCAAGAGATAGAATGAATCTGAAATTTTTGGTTGAACTCGTGTCGCTCACAAAGATTACAAGTACCAACCTTACGTAAGCATGCTCCTGTGTCTTTTATGAATTTTTCTGTTTTCTCGATGTTGTCATTCAAAAGTTCACGCATGCTTCGCCCTTCATCATTGGTCTTGAAAATATTCAGGAAATTGTCCTGAAATGAGATTTACAGTCAAAAATTTTCAGAAACTAATTCATAACCAAAACCGCTTGTTTCTCACGAAAAATTTAGCCAAAAAAATAATTGGCCAACGCACGGGCTGCCCGTGCGAAGATGCGTTTTTTGCATTGTTCCCCCAAGTTT